AACATTTCACTGTCCTCTTTGTACTTTAGCAAGATCTCATTTAGCTGAGGAAGAAGCCGCTGGGGCAAACTTCTATCAGCGGGGCAGAGGAGGAAGTTTATAGAACATATACCCTTCCAAAGCCTACCACATGATAAATGGAAGACCGGAACACTCTTCCAAGTCCTCTTTTTATCCCCTCAAACACAATAACACTGAGACTTGTCATATATGCTCAATAAACAAGCAAACTGAAAAAGGATAAAACTTGGGCAAGATAAATTCAAGTTGAAAGAAAAGAGAGATGGAAATGAAGGATTTTTAGATACCAATGATAATGATGATGGTTCTTACAGAGCTCTTATTATGTAACAGCTACTTTGAAAAATGCTTTATAAGTAAATTCTTAATCTCTACAATGGCCCCATGAGGTAGGATTATTATTCTGAGTTTACAGATGTTTAAATTGAGGCACACAAGAACTAAGTAACATGTCCAAGACGACACAGAGAGTAAGCAGAGGGAACGAGATTTATTCCAAGACTCTGACTACAAAGCCCAAGCTCTTGACCACTGGGATGTCTTCCTTACATGTTCCCTGGGATTTATATTTCAAGAGAAATAAGCAAAGGCCAGACCTATCCGCAACACTTCTCTCATTCTCTCTTCTCCTGATGCAAAAGAAGGCACTTTTAAAGCTGAGTGAAGTAAGTGCTTTGTGGTCTAAGGTTTTCTCATCCATCCTCCCTTCATCCCTTGCTACTTCCACCACCTAAACTTAATATGCCTTTGACTGACCTGATTCTGAATCAGCTTCATATCAAAAGTTAAGGCTGAACAGCAAAGTAGTTAGGGTGGGCAGAAAGCATTAAAATCATTAAAAAGGACAGGCTGATGGGAAGATGGAATGACTCAGGCATGAGGCACTACCACGCTGAATCTCCCTTTCCCATATATGTTTGTGTTTCCTGAATAGTGTGGACATAAACCGCTGACTGATCCAATCCAAGAATCATCAAATCAGTCGATGGCAGATAAATGGATACCTCTGGGAGCCTTAACCTGGCTTTCTAAAAAGGATTCGCTATCAGAAAAACCATCTGGATTTAAGATAAACAGTATCACGAAGAAATCTGAGAAAGAGAATGCTATATTGATGAAACCAGGCTTACCTCATCCAAAGGAAACGGGCTTAATGTGGCAAAAAGCTTATACCCTCTCCTATTCCTCTCTGCCCAACTCAGAAGATAACATGAGGTTTTCAGGTTGAGCATTCACTGAAAACAGCAGTGGGGAGTGAAGGAGGGTTTGCAGTGGATATCAGGAGACTGAGTAAAGTCTCCCTCTCCCACTGGCTGAACCAATGGTGATGAGCCAAGTAGACAATACACTTGCTGAAGAACCTGCCAATTCTAAGAGTCTGCAGGAGGACCTCAACACGATCAGATAGAGTAAGGGAACTGAAGCAGAGGGGGTGAAATTCAAATGTTAATAATGACAAAAGCCACAGTCCAGCCTTCCACTGAATATTTCAGCTGACTGTTGCTCTCTCTCACCAAAGAACTGACATGAAAATCTAAATAGACCAATTATCAGGCATGTAGAGAATCCAAGTGTAATATATCCATAGATTATTCCCTCAGTACATTTCTATTCCGCATTTCCTGCCCCTCCCTACAAGTTCTGAGTTTTAGTATCTCTAAATTATCTATTATGGTGCCCATATGGTAACTTGATTTAGTGAAAGCATATAAGGGGGAATTCTGGTGTTTTTCCATATAAAGATCAAAGCCTATACTGAGGCGCTTGGGTGGCTCAGTCAGTTAAGTGTCTGACTCTTGATTTCGGCTCAGGTCATGATCTCAGGGTTGAGATCGAGCCCTGCATGGGGCTCCACGCCCAGCATGGAACCTGCTTAAGGTTTGCTCTCTGCCCCTCCCACCCGAGAAAAAAATCAAAGCATATATTAAAAAAGTAATGAAATTCTGGTACATGCTACAACACAGATGAACCCTGGAAAACATGCTAAGTGAAATTGACCAAATACAAAAGGATTAACGCCGTATGATTCCACTTGATGAGGCAAATCATAGACACAGAAAGTAAACTAGAGATTACCAGGGACCAGGGGGAGGGAAAATGGGAGTTATTATTTAATGGGTACACAGTTTTTCTATCTGGATGATGGGAAAAGTTTTGGAAATGGATAGCAGTGATGGTAGCAATACCTTGTGAAAGTACTTACTGCCAATGAATTGTACACTTAAAAATGATTAAAGAGGTGAGTTTTGTGGTAAGTATATTTTATAACACAATTAAAAATGAAAAGAGTACTGCAATTGTCGCAAATGAAAGAAACCTACTCCAAAATTTCTCCTGGAAATATCTTAAAAAATTACAGTACATGGTAAGTTCCATGAGGATAGGCCCCAGATCATTTTGACTCACTGTTACAGAGCAGTTACACCATTACACAGTAGACTCTCCATAAATGTTTGTTTAATAAATGATTAAAAGAAAATAGGAGTCTCCTAGAGAGAAAATATAATATTTAAAAAGCATCAAATTTACTTATTCATAAGAAAGAATAAGGAGCATATTCCAGAGAAAAATACCAATGCTACTCTATCTAAGCTCCTTCAGGGAAGGGAGTGTTATCACATCATGGTACTTCCTCACAGCAAGTCTTACAATGTCTTACACATAGTAGATGGCTAATAAACGTTTGCAGAATGAGGAATTAAAAAGTGTGTAGATTGTGGGCACGTGGGGGCTCAGTCAGTTAAGTGTCTGCTTTCAGCTCAGGTCATGATCCCAGGGTCTAAGGATCGAGCCCTGCATCAGGCTCCCTGCTCAGTGGGGAGTCTGCTTCTCCTTCTCCCTCTACTACTCCCCTGCTTGTGCTCTCTCTTTCTGTCTCTCTCAAATAAATAACTGAAATCTTTTTTTAAAAAGTATATGATTGTAAAATCAATGTCATATAACTGCTCTACTCTTTCCCTTTTTAAAAATTACTTCTTGCAAATGTACAATTCCTTCTGTCATAGGGCAAAAAAATAAACCTCACAGCTTATACAAAGTGAAGGTAAAAATATAAATAGCTAGAACATATCACTCTCAGAAAAACAAACAAACAAACAAACACAGAGTACATCATCTTCTGAACAGAAAAAAAAATTTTTTTTCAGAAAAAAACAACTGAAGTATGGAAAAGAACAGCTTATAGTTCGTGTTTACTTTTTAGAAAGTAATAAGTGATTAAAATAAAACTTGAATTCTCTTTGGAAGAAAATCCAAATATTCATTCCCCAAAATCAATGTCCCACCTTTGTAATCAAGAGTTGAGTAAACATAGAAGGATATTTAAGGCTCCTAAGTGCCCCCCCCTCAAAAATTTATCTCACTTGTCTATCAAGTAATCATGTGTTCTTTTTTAAAAATACTAATGTCACAAAATTATACACAACTCGCTTATGACCAACATGCTACAGCAAGTTACCGATGATTTTCTCAACAGATATTCACCATCTGCATCATTTATTTACATTTTACGTGATTTGCTGAGTTACAGTATATGTAAGTAGAATATTTTTAAAGCAAGAAATCAAATGCTGACACCCTGGATATTCAGCACCTATACAGTAGATGGATCCTAATAAATCCACCAGGACCATGTAATGTAGTAGCCTCACTCTGAATAATATTAAAACACGTTCTGCAACTTCAGCCGTCCCCCACCCCCAATACTGTGTGCCAATTAACAAAGGAAATAGAAATGCCACCCCTGTAGATACCAAGGTTTACATCTCTGTTTCTCAATTGTGATCCTCAGCACAAGCAGGTAAGCAGCATTTTGGAGTAGCCTGTCTGCTAGCCCAGTCCTTCATGCATGCCGGGTTCTCCATTAGAATCCAAAACGCTCCCTGTCCACTATTAGAGCCAGCACTTCAAGCAGAACTGCATGAAGGATTATCACTTCCGTACATGAAAGCATAACCACTCCAGGTGTAATGATGCAAAATACCAGCACACTGACTTCTGCCAGAAAGCACAGACTTAAAACACGTACGTTTCTGCACTCTAGAAGGGAAAGGGGTGGAAGGAGCAAGGAGGAAACCCCACAGCCCTAATACATTAGAGATGCTTATTCCACTCAGATCCAATCCAGCTAATTCATGGACATCAGTTTACCCAAATGAAAGAAGTGGTCTCCCGTCCTTCACTGGCTTGACTCAGAGGGCATTCAGCCAAGCAAAGCCAGGCAAAACAATCTGTAAGATCTCTTTAAGCTATAATAAATAAGACGAGTTTCAGAAGAAATAACACTCAGCTATGGCAAAGAAGCACAGACGCTAAACCTTTTGCTCGTCTTATCACTGCTACTGGTGTTTACAAACTACAAGCAGTAGCCTTGGGAGCCTCAAGAGACTCCCCATGAGTAACCTCCTGTTGGATCCCTAATTTAAATACCCCCTTGATCAATCTGTGATGTTTTTGGCAGTTAAATAGAAGGGGGTGAGTGAAATGACATGCATAAAATGAATCCTTTTCAAGTTGTAAATGAGTGAGTCAGGATTCAGACTTGCCGAGATGCTCCAAATTAAAACCCCTGCTCTAATTTTAAGCATGCTCCGTCTTACCGTTTTGCTGTTGTCTCTCTCAGGCTCGATTCACCTGGAACTCTTTAACATGTCTCTAGCAATGTGTTTGCACCAGGCCAGGTTCATACAGCAACTGAATTCACATCTTTCTGCACTAGCAAGCTGAAATGGTACGGCCGTACTACAACCAAGAAAGGGGGAAGCAAAAGCAAAAAAAAAAAAAAACCACACACACACACACAAACACACACCAGAAATCACCTAAGAGGACCTAATCTCAGTGGAATAAAACCAAAAATAGTTCACAAGAATACAAAGGGCATGCTAACATTCAGTATCAATAGCTTTAACAGTTCATTTCTCCCCCCCAAAAAAATCTAGTTTTTTTTTTTTTTTTCTCCAAAAACACGAAGGACTTGCCTGTGGAGTTCCCAGGAAGGCAGAGTAACCAGGCTCTGCAGCAGCATTGCAGCCAAAGTAACAGTGCATATGCTGTCCAGGCAATTCACAACACAGTCTCTTCAGAAAGATATTGATTTGCAAGGCAGGGCTGCTTCAAAAGAATACAGAATGGGAGCCAAACAGCTAATGGTGATTGCATAGGAGGAAAAACATTTAATCAAGGGGATGTACCTCATCATACTCAATTCATTTTTTTAAAAGCACTGGAGGAAGCCAGTAAGGATCTTGAGTGACAACCTCATTAAACAATAATCTGAGGTCCTATAGCAGGCCAATGAAGGCTACCATCATTCGTGCTGCAAAAGCCACTAAAATAGTTTAATGTGTCTATGTGTATATATTTTTCATATGCAAATGGGGCATAATGAGAACTCTAAAATAACCATGCACCAAATAAAGGAGGTTAAAAATGCACAGGTGTAGCACTTACAGCACCGAAGTGATAAGATACATAGTTACGAGCCTACAGAATTCTTGGTTAGAGGGGTTAGAGCTTCTGTCACTCCCAAAAGTAAAATGCCAACACAAAGCAGATCTCACAGCCCTTAGGTTAATTATGTCAAGTCATACCACACAGTGCTGGGTGCTGGGTGCTGGGTGGCAAGGAAGAATGCCAAAAGGCTACTCTTATAGCGACCCCTACAGGAGAGTGATTAAGCTACAATTTGTCTTTGTTGAAAGTACTTCCTATCCTAAAAATACAGAACCACGAAAGGGTATAAATTAGGCTAAGACACAAGAATATAACTGAAAAACACTTTAGGCAAGAAATTTTAAAAGTTTAAGCATGAAATCTGACATCACAGGTATTTACTTAAGAGATTAAAGTACAAGAGGAGGTAACTACTGTGTCAATGGTGAGCAAGCAGCCAATATTCTCATAGCCCACAGGACTGGGTGCACTTAAAATTAGAAAGCTCAGGGAAAAGTGTTTTCCCTTCACATCCTAATTGGTTTAAAGAAATCATCTCCCAGGGCGCCTGGGTGGCTCAGTCGGTTAAGCATCTGCTTTCAGCTCAGGTCACGATCCCGGGGTCCTCCCCGTTCAAGTTCATGCACTCTCTGTCTCAAATAAATAAAATTAAAAAAAAAAGATCTCTCTCATTTGCAAACCATTTTCACCTTCATCCTTTTGAATCACACTGTGAAGATACTGAACTTTATTTTTTCTGCAACACAAAAGCTCATTCAAAAACTTACAAAAAGTTCTTCAAACACAACTATTATGTACTTCCTTTTTCAACAAAGCCAAGAGAGAAAGCTACTTCTTTAATATCTGAAAACTACTGAGGTCAATGAGCACCTTTTCTGGAGAGGGGACTTCATTCCTATAAGAATCTGAGATTTTATTTGTGATTGCTCAACTCTCCAGCCCACAAAGACTCTCCTTTTTCAAAACCAACCGTGCTTTTTATTTAAATCATTTAAGACTTAATCATATGCTGCCTCAAAACTCTCTTGTTCACATGAGAGACTATGGACTCTGAGAAACAAACTGAGGGTTTTAGAGGGGAGAGGGGTGGGGAGATGGGTTAGCCCAGTGATGGGTATTAAAGAGGCCATGTACTGCATGGAGCACTGGGTGTTATAAGCAAACGATGAATCATGGAACACTACATCAAAAACTAATGATGTAATGTATGGTGACTAACATAATAAAATAAAATTAATTTTAAAAAAAGCTCTCTTGTTCACATTTTCCCCCATTTTAAGGTCCTTGAGGAACAAACTGTATCAACTGCTTCTTTTTTTATTCCCCCAATGCATATAGCACAATGCTATCTGGAAAATATTAAATGAATACTTAAAAGAATTAATACATTTCCCAAATCCATATTTTAGGGCTTAAGTAATCTACCTCCTTCTCCCATCATTCAATGTTCCCTGAAATATAAAAAAAAAAAAAATGTTAGAAGTGTTATCTTCAGTCACCTCATCCAAGTAGTTCCTATATCTTTCTTCCTATAGAGTTGGCAGATAAGGACATGTATAACGTTCATGGTCACGAAGCTTTCCTGCATAAGAACCAACAAACTGCACGGAATAAAGTTTCCCCTTTATTTTTTTCACGTATTCATTCAATAGACGTGTGCTGATGCCCCCAGCAATAGGAACAGCCATGTTCTCTGCATGCAAGGAACCCAGTGAGCGGTTAAAAATAAAGCAAGTGATTATAATATACTGAAATGTGTTTTGGGAGCGCTTAGTTGGGTACAAATAAGGGTGGCTCAGAGAAGACCTCACTGAGGAAGCAGCACCAGGCTGTCTTCCAGGCACTGGCCAGAAGGGGGTAGACATTTGAGGACCAGCAGGACAGGACACAAGGATCAGACGCCTGAAACTGGAAGCTGTCTAAAGAAACCACCGAGCGGTAAATAGACTGGTGGCAGCTGGGAAGGCTGAGGGAAAGATGGCTTGATGCCAGAGCGTAACAGACCTGTAAACCATGCTAAGAAGTTAGGGATTTTATCCAACAGGAAGCTGCCATTTAATCCCACAGGAAGGCCCTAAAGGACTATAAGCAGAATAGCAGCTGGGTGGGATTTCTCATTTTACAACAGGGCAATGGCGTAGAACAGATTAGAGTTGCAGGACTGAGATGGGGAGGCTACTTGGGAGACTAATACTTCAGTCAAAGCCCTGAACTAAAGCAACAAAAATGTGGAGATGGGGGAGCCTGACTGGCTCAGTCAGTAGGACGTCCGACTCTTGGTTTCGGCTTGGGTCATGATCTTGGGGTTGTGGGATTGAGCCTCGAGTCGTGCTCTGCAATCAGTGCAGAGAGTGCTTGTCTCTCTCCCTCTGCTCTGCCCCGCCCCCCCTCCCACTCTCTCTCTCAAGTAAATGAATAAAATCTTAAAAAAAAAAAATGGGGATGGAAAGACAAGGGAGGTGAGAGACATTCACTCTGAGTTACTTGTTGTGACTGGACAGGAGGTCTAATGGAAAGGGAAAATCCAAGCATGGCCCTGAATTCTTAGTATAATTAAGTGAAAGGGAAAGGTGGAATCATAAGCTAAAGGGATGGATACAGGAAGATGGATACGGGAGAAATCATCATGAATTCAATATTTACATGTTGAGGGTTTTAGGTATCTTTGGAACATCCGAGTGGACGTGGGGAGTAGGCAATTATATAAGGGTCTGGAACCTGCAAAAAAAATGGTCAGAAGTTCACGTATGTATCTTATGTTATGGTTTCCTAGAAACAGAGCTCAGCCAGGATTCTTGTTCACCTAATTTACTGAGGACATGCTCTCAGAGAGAAAGAGTGAGGAGGCAGGACAGGGAGGATGGGGGAAAGCCATGAAGAGTGGCCTCAGAGGAAAAAAACCACACCCAACATTCGTCCCACCTGAAGCAAGAGGGCTGGCCTGGTGTACGCCTGGACTGGTCGTCACTGACTAGGGGCTGGAGAGGAAGGGCTCCTGTTTAGCCTAGGCACCCACTGACCAAGCCGCTCTGAGCAGGGCACCTCCAGCACTCACCACTCCATGCTTCAGCCACAATGGACAATGTTTCTTCTCCTCAGAGCTAATTCCTGCCTTGGGAATGTGTCTGGGCTGCTCTCACTGCCTAGAATGTTCTTCCTCAGATCATCTTGGCTGACGCCTTCTCATTACTAGGTTGGATGTCAGTAATCTCCTCCTGGGAGTCCTTCCCTGGCTTCCCCCTTCTGCTGGTGCTCCTCCCTCCCCGTCACCTCGCACTGTGTTTGCTGCACCATCTAATGTATTTATTTGTTTGTCTTCTGCCCTCCCTAGCATGTAAATGGCTCCAGAGCACGGGCTTCTACTCATTTGCTCTCTGCGTTGCTCCAGCCCCAAGGACAGCACTCAGTACCTGCTAAAAAAATAAGTATCAGGAAGAGCTGCTGCGGATGACCATTGTTCAGACAAATTCTGTGGGCTCCCGAAGAGTGGGAACAAAAGGGGCCTGGAAGAACGTGTGGGGAAAATATAGTGTCAACGTATGTATACAGCTACACAAGCTTGGCCTTAAAGCAGAAGTGAAAAAACAGAGGCTAGAAGGCAAAGCTACAGGAAATTAATCATTATGTTCATGTTGTCAGGACTCACAATCCACTGCTATTAAGACTATCTTTATGACAGGACATTGAGATGTATCTGAAACCACACCACAGAAGAACAGTAACAGCTGGTAAAATAAAGGGTCTATTTACAAAAGTCTTTTGTAAAAACATCATCTTGATAGATATAAAGGAAAAGATGATGACTGATGATGACTGGGTCCACTGTGAACATTAGTGACCGCCATCAGGGTTTAACTGAGAGTATACAGGGCCGCTGGCTCCCAATCTCCAGACCCGACACCCATGTGACCCTTTGCATCATCTTTATGGTTTATTCTCTCTTTGCCATCAGGCTTCCTTTCCTAAGGCTCTAAATGTGCCACCTCCTCCTAAGGCCACCACACTCTTCTCAGTCTTGTCACAACCTTCCTCAACTCCCTAAATTTGGGCAACTAGACAAACAGGCTTATTAGAACACTGTGAATAGAGGTTGGTGCAAAGCGGAACTATGAACTGTCACCTGAGTGGAGAAGTACTAGCCTAGTCACCCCCCAACCACAGGTTGTACCCTGGGCTCTGAGGTTCTTCTCACCCAGGTAGAAATTCTGATTTCCTATCAGCTTACCTGGAGCCATCTCAGACCTATGAGACTGCCAGATGTCCCACCTTCACAGAATTAGAGTCTAACAGACAGATGGCCTCCCCCCATAAAAAAGGAACCCAGACAAAAGAAGTAGTGAAGAAAGGGATAGAGAAAGCCCTTTTTTTTTTTTTAACCAGAAAAGGAAAATATTAAATAAGGAAATAAGGTCAGGAAAGGGGTAAGAGCAAAGTCTACTTTATGCATATAAATCTAATATAAGTCTGCCTTATGAATTAATCTCAATAAACTTTTAAGTTTCAAGGAGGCAAAGATATTTTATTTTGAAAAGTGATAGAGAAAAGATAGAAGTTCCCCCAAAAAAGAGGTTGAATTTCAAATTATTACAGATCCAGGCAACCCTAGCAATTTTTTTCTACTGCAAAGTTTTACAGTGAAATGTTCATATTATGATTGTTTTAAAAATGCTCACAAGGTTTTAGTAAACCTAAACCTTTATTTTTTA